CGACTAACCAGTCACTTCTCCGCCTATCGCTGGCTGCGTGTGGCGGAGTCCTACTTGGAGAGACGTGCTGACGCGATGTGGGGAACGCCTGGAACGACGCGGCAATTGATCATGAGCTGTACGCCATGGTCTCGGAGCCACCAGCGTGTTGCATGCAGCAGCAGATTCTGCCAGAGGGAGATGGGACCATTAACGCAGGCTTTCCGCATATGCTCGTTTCAAGTGATGATGCTGACGATGATGAGGTACAGCGTGAGAGTGGTAAAGTTGGGGTTTAGGCTCTTCGGAGCAGCACGAGAGCGGGGCTTCGTTCACTTTAACGAAGTATGGTGAGCCATAGGACCACAAGAGCCCAAAAAATGATCGGCGTTTAAACGCAGGGAATTCCAGTGTTAAAATGCACGTGCAGTACAAATTCAGACCTTATCAGAGCCCCACCACTAGAAATGGCACTGCTGGAGTCCGACTGATTTTCGCACAGCTTACGCAGGGAAACCAACAATTTTTGTGTCATGGCTCATGCGTTTTCAATGTGGTACCTTGCTCAATAAGTGTGTGAGATTGAGAGAAGCTGCCCGAAATGAATGAATGAATTAGGTCCAAAGCAACCTATATGTATGTGTTCCTTTGTCATATCTTACCTGCAAAATCTTACCCGTTAAACCTTATCGACCAAACCTAAACTTGTTTAGTGAATTTGATTTTATAGTGTGCGGGAGATAGTTAAGCGGGGATTAACGTGAAAAGAATAACTGGTTCGAAGGTACGTTATTGCATTCAATTTGGTCTTGAACCGGGACAATGTTGCCTTGTGCGCTGGCCCAGCACGCCTGCAACGTCACGCGTGGTGGTGAAGCATGCATGCACTTCGACGCCGGGTTCGAGGAAACTCAGGCAGGGCCAAAAGAGGCTCCGTGTGTATACAGCTGGGTGGCCGGGAGGTCGGAAAAATGAAATCTTACATGTTTGGCACCCTTAGCAGGTGCCTCCAAGGACTAGTCCAAAAACCGATCGGATGAAATCAGTTGAAAAAAAACAAAAAAAAAAACGTGTTTGTGCGGCGTAGCAGTGTTACTTCGAGTGTGGTGCAAACCAGTTGCCATCATCGCGGAGAAGAACTGCAGCTCGTTAAGTTGTTACAAATGTGCATAACTGCGGTGCGAAACAGAGGACATTTGTAGAGGCATTTGACATGAGGCACAAAGCAACAAGCGGGAGATTACGCAAAACTGTTGACACTTATCAAGAGAAATTGCTGGAAGTGAAAATTCCCAGATCTATCAGTGAAAGTTCAGGTGCAGTATGCACACGCAGGGAAAAAGTGCTAAAAAATTCATCCATGTCTACATCAAGTCCAAAGATTTGGCTGTTGGTGCCCAATCAAGTGTAAAACAAATTAAAGTTCCCAAACATGGGTCACCCTCCTGAGTATTTTGGTCTTAGGAATATTTTGCATCTCCTATCGACGCTTAATGGAAAGGTCCCATGCAGCGAGGTGGGGAAGGGGCGCAGTTAAACACTTGCACCGAAGTTTAGGAACTGTTAAACACCTGACAGGATATGTAAATATACAATGCCGAGAACAACATCAAATTCTGACGTCACGAGATGTTTTGCAGCTGCACTGATCACATTGTTGGTCGGTGAACAGATCAATGATTGGTGCAGTTAAAGAAATGCTCTACGGAGCACAGCACGGAGAAGCACAGATTTGTGTGTTTCACTCATAGCTTACCCGTCATGCATATGCATGTTCACTATCGTTCTACGAATAATCCTGCGTTTTCTTTGCAATTAACGTGGTTTCACCTTGCTGTTTCACCCATATTCGTAAGCATATTTTCATATTTGTGACAGCTGATAAAATCCGCAAAATGGAGCAACACTTCAAATTCAAGTTCAAAACACGCACGAACACTGAAGGGAATACGCAGCTACAGTCGTCATCAGTCCTGGGGACGCACGTTTCAGTTGCAGTTGCATCAACCCGTGTAACTGCTCGAACAACCAAACAAATCTATGATGGATAAAACAGCGCAATGCATTGAAACGACTTAATTATACAAACCCCACGGTGTAGAATTAACGGCCAAGGAGTTGGATGTCCTTGTTTTACTTTTGGTATTTACATCAATCGAGATGGACAGGTGATCAGTGACATAGCTCGTTATAACCGACGACTTTGTAACTGATGATATATGGCTGCACATGTATGGCCGTCATTGAAAAACAGTTTGTCTCTAACTACGTTACTCGGATGAATTGTAGCTACGCAAGGTCGATCAAATGCCTTCTTCATTTGTATGTTGTTCCGGTCCCGGAGTCCCGGTCGATTTCGATGTCACGGTCAGGGTTCCCAACGGAGTGAGCCGATCTCGCCTATCACCCGATACCGGCCGATCAGCTCATGCCGTGTATGATCCGCCCATGCTCAAATTCGATTTGGGACGATCTAGAAGAGATCCATTCGTCTGAACAAAAGATCGGTCTTCGACTGCGTGTCGGTCTATGATAACGATTGAATGCACCATGTTTTAAAAGAAAATTTCGGCAAAGGTGAAGCTACAGTACCTTATTCACTTTAAATGTCGGCGAAAGTGTGGTGGTTAACGCGTCTGCGTAAGCCAAGCTCTGTGTTTGTTTTAAACGCGTGTGCGTAAACTACTAGGGCTTTGGAAGACCAGAGATACGGGCTTTTACTCCCTGGGGTGCCCGCCATTGCTGCCAAGGTGAGAGGCAGGCGACACCATATAGATTTAGCAGCTTAGTGCGTCGTAAAGTCCCAATAACAGCGACGATGAATGTTATATTGACCCACAGTTGAGCTGAATACATGAATCTATATTTCCGATATGATTGTCCAAAATATTACACGCTGTAAGCTGCTTCGCATGTTGAAAAGTGGAGTTGGTAACATCATCGCGTATTCTCACCACTCATAGTTCATTGTTTGTAAGCCGTATGGCTCTAAAGCTTGTAAAATTTTGTTTCGGTTATATATTTTCCCTAAAATTTCCCGATCAAATTTGAAGCGGATGCCTTGCTGAAATGGACCTATGCCTGCTTGAGCAGTGGAATGAACCAACTGCGACCGGCCCACTCGCACGTAATGGCCGGCATTCGGCTGCCCGTGAACAAGTACAATTGCGCGCGAAGAGTGCGACTGCGTGCAATGAATTGGGCTCGTGTAGAGGTATCAGCCGACATTTTAACTCACTTGTTTGATTAAGGTTTATTCGGGCCACCGCCCATAAGGTCTTACGGAAGGCTGGTGGGCCGGCCAGAGCGGACATCTGCAAAGTTACGGCGTTCAATAAATAAAATATTTAGTCTTGTGTGGAGTGCGATCATGTTCACATCACGCCATTGTGGCATCACTATCAGTCCGCAATCTAAGTCCTGCATCGACTGACATGACATCTTTTAGACAAATCACTCACCGACGGCGCATTGCTGCCTGGGGCCGGCCTGTCCGTAGCGTGATGACCGGCGTTCGGCGACCCGGGACAAATACCTATAATCGCGCGCAAAGATTGCGATTGTGTGCACGCGATAGTGGTGCTGTAGGACTATCAGCTGCCACTAACATACTTGTCCGACCGTGGCATCCAGTTTTTGATCGAACACATGGCAACGTCCTCCATGCCGGCGGACTGGTCGCAGCGACAATTTAGAAAGCTATGGCGTCCAACGTAGAATAATTTTAGTCGTGCGCGGCGGGACTGACTGTGTACATGCAATGTTATTGCGAAGGCACCTTCGGCCTGACAGCGGAGGCACTTTCAGCCTGACAGCGGAGACACTGTCAGCCTGACAGCGGAGGCACTGTCAGCCTGGCAGCGGAGACACTGTCAGCCTGCAATGTAAATTGCGTATCGGCCAACTGCCGACATGACGTTTTTTCTTCAAATCACCCATTCACGGAGCACTGATACCTGCAGACAGCAGGCCCACCGCGGGATGCCAGGCTTTCGGCGGCACGGGACGAATACTAGTAGTAATCGTACGCGAAGAGGTGCGCACCTCTGCGCTGTGTGCAGGTTTGTCCTAATGCAGGTGCGAACACGCACAGTGCGTTCGTACCTGAACGCACTTTGTGTGTTCGTTTGCCCTGCAAAAGCTTCACGACATCAGCTTTCACGACAGCACACACGCCCGGTTACGTCATCCATTTTAATTTGGTCAGCCCTTCGACAGCGCCGCACTCAATGCTGATGGGCCGCCCGCAACGGCAGGCTGCAAAGTTACGGCGTCCAAATTAAAAACACTTTAATTCCAATGTGATGAAATCGTGCATGGCATGTGTGACCATGTGAACGTGTGCCCATTGTGCACTGCGCTCTTATGCCGTGTGGACGTCGGGGCTACGAGAAATTCCAGTGTGTGGTGGGCGTTCTGGGAGTGCAATTTTTCTGAATTGTTGCGCAAGTGTGGTATGGCCAATAAGGTGGGTTGTGTGCACAGTGCAATACGCTAATATAGCAGGTGCGTCAGTGCACCGCTGCGGCGTAAAATTGCGCAACAGCTGTAATGGTTTTGCACATAGGATATTGGTATTTAAATACGGTTGCCGGTCTTCGAACGGATGTGGCGAAGCGATCTATGAATAATTGTCGGTACGGCTTATTCGACTGCATGACTAAGCGTACTCCTCCCGTCCACGTGTGCTCCATGTGTACCCCACCCCTCCCGTCCGCGTGTGCTCCACGCGTACCCCACCCCTCCCGTCTACGTGTGCAACCACCGGAAGACCTTGGTATGGTTGCATCAGACAAGTGTTGATTGTGATCAGCGCCCGAGCCAAGCAGGAGTCGGGTCGCAAGACTGTCGGTGACCAGGTCGGGCGGGGGAGGGGAGAGGAGAGGGGGCCGCGCTGCTCGACGCCGATTGGTCGACGCGGCCATCGACCGGCTGGGAGTCAGCTGATTCGCGGCCGGCCGCGGCCAGGCCGGCTATACTTAACCGGGCGGGCGCCGGCGGCGGCGTCTGTCGTGGGGCCGCCGCGCGGAGGGGAGAGCGCGGGCGGATCGGTGTGGTTACGCAACGCGCCCTCTACCTGCTCAGCAGCTCTGAGCGCAAGCTCAGCTGATCGTCCGCCGCACAAGACAGGTGAGACCAGACTACCCACATTTGGCTGCTGTTGGACTGCGGCGTTAGGCGTATTCGACTTGTTTGTCCCGTACTAACGCGACCTTTGGCTGCATCGGCCATGTTCTGGCGGATTTCCGGTCCTCGCTTGCATGACGTGATCCGACGTACCTTGGAGGCCTTGCGTAGCCGCGGGTTCGTTACGGTTCAGTGCACTGGCGCAAGCAGGAACCAGAGCGATGTCTTCCAAGAAACAGTGTTTGTGTTATTTCTTTCCAGCTGAAGCCCTTAGTGTTGTGTGCAATTTCCAGACAGTTGGAAACCAGTGTGCCCCCGGTTATGGCGCCCCTGGCAGCAGATCACCTTGGTAGAGTATACCTAACATGCCATACATTACCCTCGGTCTTGGACCGTGTGGGGAAGAGACCCCTCCCCTGTCGTAGTAGCTTGCGCATGGTTAAGAGGTCACGTGACTATAAGTTCCGGAACGAATGCTCAAATTGGGTCTGAACTTGATATGGCTAACATGGCTGAGCGTTTGAAAATATTAGGGAGTCCGTGAAATGGGCTGGGGACATGGATGTGCAGAGAGTCCGGCCCCGTCGCGGTTAGGGGTCCTGCACGGCCAGGACTCTGGTACCGTCAGGGCTTCGGTGCGATCAGGACCCTGGTACAGTCAGGGCTCCGGTACGGTCAGGGCTCTGGTACGGTCAGGGCTCTGGTGCGATCAGGACTCTGGTGCGGTCAGGACTCTGGGACGGTCAGAGCTCCGGTACGATCAGAGCTCCGGTACGGCCAGGACTCTGGTACGGTCAGGGCTCCGGGACGGTCAGGGCTCCGGTGTGGTCAGGGCTCCGGTACGATCAGGGCTCTGGTACGGCCAGGACTCTAGTACTGTCAGGGCCCCGGGACGGCCAGGGCTCTGGTACGACCAGGACTCTGGTACTGTCAGGGCTCCGGGATGGTCAGGGCCCTGGTACGGCTAGGACTCTGGTACGGTCAGGGCTCCGGGACGGTCAGGGCTCTGGTACGACCAGGACTCTGGTACTGTCAGGGCCCCGGGACGGTCAGGGCTCTGGTACGGCCAGGGCTCCGGGACGGGCAGGGCTCCGGTGCGGTCAGGGCTCCGGGATGGTCAGGGCTCTGGTTCGGCCAGGGCTCCGGGACGGTCAGGGCTCCGGTACGGTCAGGGCTCCGGTGCGGTCAGGGCTCCGGTGCGGTCAGGGCTCCGGTACGGTCAGGGTTCCGGTGCGGTCAGGGCTCCGGGACGGTCAGGGCTCTGGTACGGCCAGGACTCTAGTACTGTCAGGGCCCCGGGACGGCCAGGGCTCTGGTACGACCAGGACTCTGGTACTGTCAGGGCTCCGGGATGGTCAGGGCCCTGGTACGGCTAGGACTCTGGTACGGTCAGGGCTCCGGGACGGTCAGGGCTCTGGTACGACCAGGACTCTGGTACTGTCAGGGCCCCGGGACGGTCAGGGCTCTGGTTCGGCCAGGGCTCCGGGACGGTCAGGGCTCCGGTGCGGTCAGGGCTCCGGGATGGTCAGGGCTCTGGTTCGGCCAGGGCTCCGGGACGGTCAGGGCTCCGGTACGGTCAGGGCTCCGGTGCGGTCAGGGCTCCGGTGCGGTCAGGGCTCCGGTACGGTCAGGGTTCCGGTGCGGTCAGGGCTCCGGGACGGTCAGGGCTCCGGTGTGGTCAGGGCTCCGGTGCGGTCAGGGCTCCGGGGCGGTCAGGGCTGGGGCTTTCTCTCAGTAATGGACTCCGGTTACCAGCCTTCAGTGAATGGTCGGTCTCCCCTGACTTTTGGGGGTGATGACTGCGCTGTGATAACATATGTCCGCCGCCTCCTGAGTGATCGAGCTGGCTGACGACATTGAACAGCAACAGTTGACCCGTCTCAACATTGGGCCGTGGACTGTAGCTCGCCATCTCGCACAGTTTTAACTTTCGGTATCCGATCATGTCACGTGGGAGGGGGGGGGGGGTTCAGTCCATGTCACATGGGATCGAGGGCGGATTCAGTCCATGGCCTGGGGGCGGGGGCGGGGGGGGGGGCGGCAAGTCCAGCTTGGTGGGAGCGAAGTACGCAAAATATGTCAGGCTTTAAAATCCAAACTCATCCTGTTTATGCTTTTTATCGCAAGAGATGCTTCAAAACTTACTCCTCGTAGTCACGTGACTTATATGTTTTGAAAGTTCGAAATTGCCATAGTTGCCAGACCTGTTGTCGTATGGGAAGGGGGAGCGTATCTCGGTTCGCCCGATCGCCTCCTCTCTCTCTCTCCAGGATCCGCCCTTGCTTCGGATGACATTACGTGATGATGATGATGATTCTGAATGAACCTGACACGATGCGAAGCAAAGAACCGGTCCGACCACCCAGCTAACACTGTCTCACCACTCTGCTAAATAGATCTGTTGGCGACGTTGATGTCCTGTGCTGCAGGCGGCGAGCGGGGCTCCCCGGACGATGGCGAGTCTGCACCACGTGGAGGTGTGCACGGCCAACGCGGCCCGCCTGCTGCGCCTCTTCACGGGCGGCTTCGGCTTCGGCTGCCTGGGCCGCCGCGTCACGCCCCGCTGCCTCCAGTGGGTGGTGCGCAGCGGCCACGCCACATTCGTCATCACTCAGAAGCACCGGCAGGTGAGCGCGCCAGGCCCGCCGAGTTTGTCTCCCGCTTGGTCACGTCCCGCCTACCCGCCTAGAGGTGTGTACGCCCCGTCGGACGTGGTGACCAACCATGGTTTGACGACACCTTCCACACTTTCCTTGCGGGTGGGCCCCACTAGCATAACTTTTTGACGTTAGCCATATCCATGGTCCATGAATTACGTTCCGTATTTTATGCCATTTCACCCCTCTCCGCTGGCGCTGGTCTGACCCAGCCCCCCCCCCCCCCCACCCCCACCCCTCTGCGCTGATTTAGGTCTGACCCATCCTCGTGCCCCGCCAGATGCGGGTCTTACCCGTCTCCTGCTCCGTGGGCTCCTGTCTGGCCCAGCCCTCGTGCTCCGCCAGGTGCGGGTCTTACCCGTCTCCCTGCTCCGTGGGCTCCTGTCTGACCCAGCCCTCGTGCTCCGCCAGGTGCGGGTCTTACCCGTCCCCTGCTCCGTGGGCTCCTGTCTGACCCAGCCTCGTGCCTCGTCAGGTGCCGGCCGACGCTCCCACCGACGCGCGGTTCGCCAGCGGCGAGCCGTGGACGCTCTTCTGCTGCGCGGACGGCCCCCATCGGCGCGACTCCGTCTTTAACGTGGCGCTGAGCGTGCGCGACGTGTGGCGCACGGCCGAGCGCGCGGCCCGCGCCGGCGGCCGTCTGCTGCAGCCGCCAGTGCGCGTGACAGACCAGCTGGGCAGCGTCGAGTACGCCGTGGTCGGCTCCGTCTGCGGCAACCTGGTGCACACGCTGCTCAACCGGGATCGCTACACGGGCGCGTTCTTGCCGCGCTTCGGCAGCGGGGGGAGCGCGGCGACGGTGGAAGACGACGGCGCGGGGCGCGACGACGAGCACGTGGACCACGTGACGCTGACATGCCGCCGGGGGGAGAGCACGGCGCTGGTCGACTGGTACCGGCGGGTGTTCGGAATGAGGAGGTTTCGACTGAACAGGTGAGCGGCGTGGTGGTTCATCCCAGGCCCGTTCGCTCCCGGCCCGTTGTTCCATCACGAGCATTGGCGGACCCCATTGGCGTGTTCCACAACGGCAACTCCGGCGGCATGTCCGAATGAGAACGGTGAACGTGGGAGGAACGCCGTCACCTGCGCGCCGCTGTCCTGCAGACTGAGCTGCTCCGGGTGAGCCCCCTCCCTCTCCCAGCTGGTACGGCAACCCAGCCCCTTTCACTCCGCGGCGGGTGAGACCGCACGAAGTGAACGAAGCAGCCCGTCGAGCCGACCACGGCAGCACCGTCCGCGTTGTGCGCGCTCGCCGACCGGCCGGTGTGCTGTGTTCCAGTGAGGACAGCGAGGCGGACGGCGTGCGGCTGGAGGGCGACGTGGGGATGGCGCTGAAGGCCATGGAGTACTGGCGCTGCGCGGAGACTGGGCTCAGCTCGCCGCCGACCTCCGACCGAGAGCCGACGCTCAAGTTCGTGATCGCCGAGAGTCTGCAAGGTGAGACCCTGCCCCCGGGAGGCGGCGGTCGCTGGTGCGGGAGGAGTGGAGGGCGGCAGTCGCTGGTGCGGGAGGAGTGGAGGGCGGCAGTCGCTGGTGCGGGAGGAGTGGAGGGCGGCAGTCGCTGGTGCGGGAGGAGTGGAGGGCGGCAGTCGCTGGTGTTGGAGGAGTGTTGCACAGGGTGGAGGGCGGCAGTTGCTGGGGTGGGAGGAGTGGTGCACAGAGTGGAGGAGGGCAGCTGGTGATGTGGGATGAGTGGAGGGCGGTAGTCGCTGATGCGGGAGGAGTGGAGGGCGGCAGTCCCTGGTGCGGGAGGAGTGGAGGGCGGCAGTCGCTGGTGTGGGAGGAGTGGTGCGGAGAGTGGAGGGTGGCAGTTGCTGGGGTGGGAGTAGTGGTACACAGAGTGGAGGAGGGCAGCTGCTGATGTGGGATGAGTGGAGGGCGGCAGTCACTGGTGTGGGAGGAGTGGTGCACAGAGTGGAAGAGGGCAGCCGCTGGTGTGGGAGGAGTGGTGCGCAGAGTGCAGGTGGGCAGCCCCTGGTGTGAGAGGAGTGGAGGGCGGTGGTCGCTGGTGTGGGTGGAGTGGTGCTCAGAGTGGAGGAGAGCAGCTGCTGGTGTGGGAGGAGTGGTCCGCAGAGTGGAGGGCGGTGGTCGCTGGTGTGGGTGGAGTGGTGTGCAGAGTGGAGGAGGACAACAGTCAATGGTGTGGGAGGAGTGGTGCGCAGAGTGGAGGATGGTAGCCGCTGGTGTGGGAGGAGTGGTGCGCAGAGTGGAAGTCGGCAGTCGCTGGTGTGGGAGGAGTGGAGGGCGGTAGTCGCTGGTGGGGGAGGAGTGGTGCGCAGAGTGGAGGTCGGCAGTCGCTGGTGTGGGAGGAGTGGAGGGCGGTAGTCGCTGGTGTGGGAGGAGTGGTGCATTAAGTGGAGGGCAGCAGTCGTTTGTCGAATTTGCTCTGTGGACGCGGTAATCCGTGGAGATGAATTTATCCCTGTGACCAACAGACAAGTGGCACGTGTTGAAGCCTCATTGAAGTGTGTTTAGCCATCGTGGCAGGTAATAGTTGGTGTACGCTGTGCAGTTACCATCTCTGTCTGTGCATGTGCCTTGACATCTATGGACGAAAAACTCTGCTCTCCCTTACTGAGGGTAGGTGTATACCCTGCCTGACACCGCTTTCACCCAACCGATTTGTGAACGTTGCCTATAGTCTACAAACGTTCGTCATACAGCACGCACAGCATAGCGAGTAGAGCCCCTCTCGCGCGATGTCGTCCACTTGTTTTCTTCTCTGGCGCGCAATACCACACGCTAACACACACTATGGTTTGCCCGACGTAGACTGGCTCGTGGTCAGCCTCGCTGACGAGCGCGTGCCCTCCCCCACAGACGGTTCGCTCGTGGTCAGCCTCGCTGACGAGCGCGTGCCCTCCCCCACAGACGGTTCGCACGTGGAGACCTTCAACCGTGAGCACGGCGGTCCGGGCGTGCAGCACATCGGTCTGCACACGCGCCACATCGCCGGCCGAGTCGGCGAGATGGCGCGCCGCGGGGTGCGCTTCCGGAAGCCGCCGGCCGCCTACTACAGCCAGGTGCGCGCCGGTGGGGACCGGCGGCCACGGCACCCGCAGCGCCCAGATGGTGCCCCCTGTGTGTCTAATGTCAAGAGTTCCGTGGTCGCCCAGGGTTCCCAGGTTCGAGGGTTCAATGACCCAGGTTCAAGGATTCCGTGGTGACCGTGGTCCTTATTGGTAGTTTACAGTTCGGTTGGATGGATCCATTGAGGCTAACTGCAGGTCATTGAGCAAGCGAACCGTCCCTGGCGGGGTGAGGGAGGCGCAGCCAGACAACATCAGGGCCGACAGATCCACGCACGCCTTGCTGAAAATGTAGCAGCTTCGGCCGATCCTACGTGTGTGGTGTGTTGCGTTCCGGCCTCATTGCATGTTGTTTCTCTCGTCAGACGGGTAAAGGTGACGAGATATCTAGAGCGGGCGTCTGCGGAGACGAGCTGAGGCTGTTTCAGCAGCTGGGACTCCTGCTGGACTCCGAGGCCGACGAGGACTCGCACATGGGCAACAGGTGGGCGGCCGCGATTGGGCTCATCGCGACTCGCGCGGCGGCTTCAGATCTACACCCATATAGGCACTACCTATCACTGTTTATGGTGACGGTCGTCAGACTGATGAGACATGTCGGATAGTTGGAGGCTACACATACAGTATGCAGCGATGTCCCGGGAAGAGTAGAGGTGAGACTGATAAGACATGTCGGATAGTGGAGGCTACACATACAGTATGCAGCGATGTCCCGAGAAGAGTAGAGTAGAGTCGTGGGGGCTCAACACCGCTCAGCTTTTTAGGTCATATGGCGTCACCTGTGCCTCTCACCCTGGCAGGAAGGGCGGGCACCGCGGGGAATCGAACCCCGTACCTCTGATTTCCCAGACGCGCAGTGGTCCGCGCAGACGCGTTAACCACTGCGCTGCTGGCACCCTTAGAGAAGAGCGACCCGCGGCCGCCGATCCGGAGACGGCCGGCCGGCGCTCTGAACACCGCCCCACTCCCGCTGGCAGGTACCTGACACAGGTATTCAGCGAGCCGCTGTTCGAGGAGGACACCTTCTTCATGGAGGTGCTGGAGCGGCGGGGAGCGCGCGGCTTCGGCCAGGGCAACATCACAGCTCTGGCGCGCTCCATAGTGGAGGACCAGCGCCAGAGGCGGGAGGCGGACGCCTCATGACCGTCGGCCCGACCCGACGTAGGCCGCCTAGCTCAGTGGACAGATGACCGTCGGCCCGACCTGACGTAGGCCGCCTAGCTCAGTGGACAGATGCTTTACATATCAAAGGTGTGCGTCGATTGGACGAGCGCTGAACTGGACGTTCTGTCCTGTTCAGAGGGGCGCTCCACAACGGGGACTGTCGGTTATGCAGAGCCGCGCTGCCGTGACTTGTGTCTCAGTCCATCACCCCGATCGACACAGGTCTGCTGTCGCATACGATGTGACCTTGGGATGCTGCTGTCTCCGACAGAGCCCACGTAACCCACGTCCCGGCCGGGCTGCACGGCGCCTCTGAGAGACGCGGTTCCCCAGAGTAGTGCGCGTGTCTGCGTGACCGATAGACGCCGATTCCACGTCAACAGACTCCCACCAGCCAGACAGAGAGAGCTGCACGCCCTATGTACATGCACGACAGCTCACTGCCACATGGCTCGCATGACAGGTGTGGCGATTGGAGGCAACTGTTGATCGGGCTGTGCCTTCATAAAAAAACGGCAGTCGCTGCAGCTGCACGGCCGTGTAAAACTCCGCTCCCCGGAGTGTCAATACACCACCCATCGGATCACACCGGTGACTTTGGTCGTCACATGAGATTCGTGACTGGAAGAATGTGCCGAGGCGTACGGGCCGGGTCTTCTCCCACATTCGGCGCGTAAGCGCGCGGCAACACCGGCGCGTCCGCGTGAGGTCCGGCGATGCTGAACGCCCAGCGGACGGCGACAGTTTATGACCAGTTCCGCACACTGCACACGTCCGCAGACCCAGTCGCATCGACGACAGCCAGTGGTCCACTCGCCACCGATTTCGGGGGTTAGAAATAACTCGTGCCTGGCATCATCTGCAGAATCTAGGATTGTGAACGTCTACCAGAGCGTCGTTTCCTGGTAGAACGCTGTTTGTGCTGTTTCCTATAACCTATAACATGGGACGCCCCCGACTGTAAATGCGTCTGTGCAGAGCAGTACTTGGGTACAGATGAAAGGCGTCCTGTTGTGAGGGATACCTGGGCCGAGAATGATGGATCGGTTTGGAATCATCGCGTGTACATCCAAAAGACGGCTAACGCATCCTCATGTATTACCGATTAAAACAACGAAGTCTCCGAGCGGAGTGTGAGTCAACGACTATTGGAATCACAGGCGTGTTGCAAACTGTATTCACGGCTCCAAATCAGAGGAACGGCTGGAACAGTTAACCATGCTTGCACGGGCCCGTGAACGTGCTAACCTTGTACAACATATTTACAAACGTCACTGACGAGATTCAACTATCACTGAAATGTTCTGGCAGCGCTTACAAGGTCCCGGTTCTGGCGCCTGGAGCTTCAGTTGTCCAAAGCAAAGCGCGATTTCCTACGATGTAAAACATCGCACGATTTACGTCTATCTACCCCCGCAAATCCTTTGGGTGGACTTCGGGGGTTAATAATCCACCACCACCACACACACGGGAACAGTTATAACCAACAGCGATAAACATGTATAGATCCTCTGCTTGTGAGCAACGGTAAAGTCTAAACACGGATAGTAACGCCGCCGTCTGGTCCGATAAAACACGCATGAAACCCCAACACACAACGTGTCGAGTCGGCGGCAAATTACCCAACACGGCTGCTGCCAACCTCGATGCGTTAGATCCACGGAGTATTCGGAGCTGCAAGAGACTCGCCGCTGCTGGCCTCCAGAAGGCCGTTAGCTGCCTGCCAACGTCGTCGGGCACCTAGACCTCCCAGACGACGCCTTCAAGCACCCTGTGTCATCCGCGTATCACACGATCCAGTCCGTTTGAGGAAGACCCGGGCGCCGGCCGGGCAACTCCGTGACATGACAGCGGCGGCCGCCCGGACCGCGCTTGGCACGTGACTTGGTCGGGTGGGCCGGCCGGCTGACGCCGCCGCCGGGGCGAACCGCCATCCGAGCTAGGCGTCCGGCAGCTGGCCGGGCGTGCTCAGCCGGTGCTTGGGGCTCGGCTTGCGGGCCGGCTGCGGCTTGATCCTGGCGCGCGGTCGAATCGAGGCGAGGCGGCCGGCGTCCGCCGCGCCGACCGGCGGCGCGCCGTCCCCCGGGCCCAGCACTGCGGCCACCGGGCGCGCGACGAGCCCGGGCCGCGGCACCACGGGCACGCCGCTCACAGAGACCGGCCGCGCCGCGGGGGCCGGTGGCGCGGCGGACGAGGGCCGCGGCGCCGGCGCCGCACCGCCGCCGGTCACCGGCGCCGCCGCCGGGCCGGCCTCCGGCTCAGCGGGCAGCGCGCGCACCGGCGAGGCGCGGCCTCCGCGCCGTACAGTGCACTGGTCCTGCCGCGCGAACGTCTCGGCGGCCGTGGTGCCGACGGCAGCGCCCTCCTCCGACGAGCCGCTGGAGCTGCGCTGCAGGCGACCCCACTCGGCCGGCAGGTCCATCACCAGGTCAGGCGTGTGTTTGGGCGCCAGCCGACGGCCGGGCGCCGCCTCTGCCGCGGCGCGCGTCTCCCACATCGCGCGGCGCGACAGCACGCTGCCAGCCGACGGCGGCGCTGGCTCCTTCCCAGCGCCGCTCGGCCGGCGCGGTGCGGCGCGCGCGCTGGCCGGCGCCGGCGGCGGTGGCTCGGCGTGCTCACCGCTCTCGTCGGGCGACAGCTGGCCGGCGCGCAGTCGCTCTGTCACCAGCGTGATCTGGCGCATGGCCCGCTCCAGCTCGTCACCGTCGTCCTCGTCCTCGCCGTCGGCGGCGTCGGTAGCGGCAGCGGCGTCGGTGTCAGCGTCGGGCGTGACGTCGCCCGTCCAGCCACCGTCGGCGTCGTCGCCGGGCGTCGGGCGCGGCGCCTCCGCCGGCCGCCGACGTGGAGTGACGGCCGGCTCGGCGGCCGGCGGCGCGGCGGCGGCGGCGGCGGCCCGGTGGAGAAGGGAGAGGGAGGCGGCGCGCGGTGCGGGGGTGGGCGCGCCTCCGCGGGGCAGCGTGGCGCTCCGGTCCGGTAGCCAGCGTTCCTACGATCGGGTCACAGGGGGGTCAAGCGCCGCCACCGCGGACAGCGCATAGCAGCCGCCACCGGCGGTTAGTACCGGACACCAGAGGTGAACACAGCCTGACGTGGACACACATCGACAGCGAGACTCGGCAACCGCAGACCGCAGGCACACAGGAACCGACACCACTGGCCAGCCGCGGCTCCAGCTCGCCAGAGTATCATACAGGCACACAGCTTGGCAAGTGAATGCAGCCCAGCGGGGCATAACGTACGGCAAGTGCGATGCCCGACACCGGCCAGGCGCACAGCGCAGTTAGCCACACATTAGTCACAGCCACGGTCCCGCAAACCCGCCCAAACATAACATGTATTGCAATGCCCGCCAGTTATTCGCGCCATTAGCGCACACCGCGTTAAGGCCACCGTTAAACATGCTGCCAGCTTCTTGAAAAAACGTGCTATCACTTGAGAGCAAAGCTTCAATAAACGCTTGTGACATTTGGGGAAACGTGACCATCTAGGGGCTGATTGATCCTCTCCACCCATTATCTAGAAAATAGCCGGGTTACTACATATCATATGACTTAAACCGAAAAATCGACAACGAAAAAGCTGGGATAGCTTTGCTATCACCTGAATGGCCCAAGGCCCACAAAATCGCTCAACACTTTTAAAGTGCCAGTTGCTGTATTCACTGTTTCTGTAGTTTCCCGGCGCCGACCCTCTAGCCCAACTCAGCGAACGTCCGAGGCACTGGTCGAGATGTGGCACACACGTGTTCGCGTTACAGAAACCGTACCGTGTCTACGGCGGCTAACTGCCAATCGACCAAGACACGCTACTAAAAAAGGGGGCAACCTTGCTCCTGTGTGGAGAAACAAAATCTTTTGGAAATATCGCTCGCTGAACTGTGTTCGCCCATCTGCGGTGGTGTTTTCGCCGCAAGTTTTACTTAGCAAGGATTTCACTTCCAGAGCATTTAGCCAATTTTTCTTGAAGTTACCATGCCTGCAGTATGCTAAAGATAGGCTGGGAATACCGACTGAACGTCCCGAGTCTGACAACTGCGAGAAACACATCCTCAAGTCGTTCGCTTAGCGCTGTCCTTGCGATGTATCGTTAACACATCGCAAATGAAATGTTAAAGCTTTACCGTAAAGTCGTCGTCTTACACACCGCCCCTTGCTGGCGCCACACGGACCAAGCATAACCCGCATCAGTTTTGGCGTTAGTAGCCAACGGAAAGCCCCAAAAGCGTCGGCAGGCAAAGCGGCATGAATATGTACACAACGTCCGCTTCCTGGGAGATCCCTCCAGAGCCGTCAATAGCGCGCCCAGAGGCTAGCCATGGGACGACTCATGCGGTCTCGGCCGGCTCGAGCGGAGTCAAACAGAGGTCTCCAGTACCTCGGCGTGCTCCAGCACGGAGGAGCTGGAGGCGGTGGAGAGGGTGGAGGTGGAGGAGCGGGCGCTGCGGCTGGCCGACCGCGCCGGCTCGCTGCTGACGGACGCGCGCGGCTGGCTGCCCGACTCGGAGCCGCTGGTGCGCTCCTCGTCCCTGGAGGGACGGGGCGGGTCAGATGCTCTCGGCTGCCATCACCAGACACGTCAAACGCGTCCCAATCAAGTCCCACCCGTCTAATAATCCTTCCCGCCTTTGTACATGGAAGACAACAGACAACCTTGGCAACAAAATCGATTCGAAGCCCCTTAAGACTGCGTTCGAACCGGTGGTTTGTGGGGAAACTACCATCTGGCAAGCGGGCGTCGTCGCTGAGACACGCCAGTCTGTCCGCCACGCCAGCCATCCCGACCGCGCCCCCGGTCGCCGCAGCCACACACCTGATGCGCAGCATGATGTACTTGTCGGGCACGAGGCCGTCCTGACCGCGGAAGGCGCCGCGCCACCAGTCGGACGACACCTGCCTGTAGAGCGTCAACACGTCGCCGCAGCGGAAGCTCAGCTCACGCGGCGAGCGGGCCGAGAAGTCGAACTGCGCCACCGCCTCCAGCTGTTCGCCCTCTGGCGGCACGCCGGCACAGGCGGCGTCAGGGGCGCCGGGCGCGGAGGCCGCCGGAGGCGGGGGGGGGGGGGGCATACACTTCAGTCCAGATGGGAGCCAGCGTCGGAGAAAAGCCCCGTTATAGTATCCTCCGAAATTGCCACGTTACACCACAATCCGAAATTGTTCCGCATCCAACGTAATTCAGCATAGATTATGAACGATGCTGCAGTGCTGTACGAAGACGACAAAACGAGTGGTCAAGAGCTTATCAAGAAACCTACCAGCGGTCCACCACCACACGCCTTTCAGTCGACAAGGCACAATCTAAAGGGCAACGTCACGACCTTCCTAGAGCGCAATAACTCAAAGGTCACACCATATTACAAAATAAGATTGCATTCGATTGTCAAATAAGGGCTGCTTGCTACCTAACAAAGCAGCATTTTAAAGTTGTGGACTAACATCAATTTTCATCTGGTAAGTCTATCAGAACGACTTCCGCCAAAAGCGTTGCAAGTCGGCACAAAAGGAGAAAAGGAAAGAGAACACATATACTTACTGCCAAATATCTGCAAACTTATGTTCAGCTCTCTTTCTTTTATCAATGGATCTGAGGGGAAAACGTAAGCTATGGGTTACGAAAAAAGAAGAACAGAAATTGAAACAAACAAAACGAACAAAGGACAAACCAAACATAACAACGAAAACGACAGATCTCCTCGTGCCACGGAACTCTGCACAGCTGCTCCCAGGGACAATCATGGCTACGAGCCGTGCCTGGCAGCCATGTGCCAGGAGCCCAACCAAGGGTCCCAGGACCTTGTACCCCTCCCCACGGTTGCTACGGTCGACATCCGCTACTCGCAGTGCCACGCTGGCGATGCGACGAACCCTTCCGAGCGAGCATTAGCACAGCCGCTAATGATTGCTGACTCCCCATGAGGGGGCCGCTCTACACCACCGGCGAGTCCCACGGTCGGAGCCCCTACACTGCCTCCAGAGTCGGCTCGGCAGACCGCCGCGGCGTCCTCCCGGACCGCCCCGGCCGCAGACGGCGAGCCCGGCGCCGACCGGCGGCGGCGCCGGGCCGCGTCAGGCGCCCGGCCGCGTCTGGCGCCCGGCCGCGTCTGGCGCCCGGCCGCGTCCGCTCACCGTCCTCGGAGGGCGGCTCGAGCTCAGCGCCGTCCAGCTGGGCGGCCGTCTCCGAGGGCGCCTCTCCGATCTCCTCCGCCTCGGTCGGGCCCCTGCTGATGTACTTCTCGTAGACGGGCCCGCCGTCGCACGCAAAGATGCCGTCGTGGCAGAGGATGATGTGCTTCATCAGCTCGTTGACCAGGTTCTGGTACTGCACCTGATCCTTGCTCTCGGGGATGGGCAGCAGGGTCGGGCCGAAGCAGATGGCCAGGTTGTAGGGCTCCATCATGTTCTCGTCGCTGAACTCGGACAGGCTGGCGGACAGCGGCGCCACGGACGCCACCAATCAGCGCGGTCGTCATGGCACAGTGCGGAGGCCAATGGCCAGATCACAAGGCGCAGAAGCACACGCCCCTTACAACGGCTTCGAACTGTTTGGCATCGACTGGAAAGCTTATCAGATGTCGCAATCAACAACTGCGTGAAAAGGAGGGGGGCCGTCGAACTGGCTGACACGTGTTAGCTCCCATGCGCACTGGTTTGAAGTAGGGAAATCGCGAAGGAACTCTTTCCATCCACCCTACACCGTGATAATGGTCTAAGCCCAAAATAGTCCGAGAGAATAGTCCAATAAATACAAACGTTGGATATAAAACCCGATACTAAACCAAGACCCTGTCCGAAACGCAACACACCAGCCCAACAGCTGTCGACGCACGGCGGCAGAGAGCCGCTGCGCTGAGCCGCTCCGGTCCGGCTCGGTTGGCGGCACTCACTGGCTGAGGAAGGCGAAGAGGTAGCGCATGACCAGCTGGACGGCGCGCGGCAGGGCCGACACCAGCTCGCGCAGCCGCGCCGTCTGATCGTCCGAGCTGCCCAGCTCTGCGGCCGCCGGGGGAGACGCGTCAGCCGCGACAGCACCCGCGTCCCCATCTGGAGTGGTGCGCGAGCGTAGGATGGAATGGGGCACTGACCTAACTTGGAAGGTAAGGCATGCTTGGAGGGCACAAACAGTGAGCAATCTTTAATCAGTCAGGAATGATCCTAAAGGAGCATGTGATGCAATAACGAGGAATGTGACGCGGAAACAATGACATTCAAATAAAACGCGACCAAAAACACCGCCCATGGTGATCAACTTGGGGGGGAACGTGGTCGACTTGAGAAGCGTGGTCGACTTGGGGGCGTGGTCGGCTTGGGAGGCGTGGTCGGCTTGTGGAGCGTGGCCGGCTTGGGGGACGTGGCCGGCCTGGGGAGCGTGGTCGGCTTGGGGAGCGTGGTCGGCTTGTGGAGTGTGGTCGGCTTGGGGAGCGTGGCTGGCTTGGGGAGCGTGGTCGGCTTGTGGAGTGTGGTCGGCCTGGGAGAGCGCAGTTGGTTTGGGGATGTGTGGTCCTCTTGGGGGAGCGTGGCCGACTGTTGTTCAATGTTCTGGTCCGTAGCCGTCACCAGGTCCTCTCAGCTTGAACCGCCACAGTCGTCATAGGGGCACGAACGCGGACTCAAAAACCGTGCCACTACCGCAGCCCGTCCATCTGCCGCAAGTACACTCACAACCGTACACATACAACACACCCCGTGCGCGCCGCTGGACTCACGGGCGATCTCCATGCATTGGTCGAAGTACTGGGTCGGGAAAAAGGGCTCGCGCAGTTCGCGCAGGTACAGCTTCAGCACGCCGGCCACCGAGTTGATGTCGGAGGCGTCCGACACGTCCGCCAGCGGGTCCTCGCCGCGCTCGAAGCTGTCGCGGAAGTTGTTGATCTCCACCTGCGGCCAGGCGGTGGCAGGTGATCGATGAGCAGACTCGACCATGTCTGACAGACTCGCTCACCGTCCCGTTCATACTGTGCAGCCGGCCACCGACGAAACACAGCAAAGCCGCAGAGCGCGGTCTGCCCATGTTAACACGACAGGAACATAGTCACAACGATGCGTTCGGAACTTTGAAACATGCGAACTTAAGCCCGCGTGAATTCTTCTGCTTTAAGGGCATACAAACTGATCCGAAGCTGAATGCCTTCCGCGCCTCAGGGACAAGCGTGCAGATCCAGAGTCGGACGCCTGTCGTGCTTAGGAACACGCACACTGATCCAGAGTCGAATGTCTCCAGTGCCTTAAGTACCCACATGCAGACGCCCTGATGACGTCTGGTGCCGACAACTCCGTCCGTTCCCCTGCTCACAGCCCTGATGACGTCTGGTGCCGACAACTCCGTCCGTTCCCCTGCTCACAGCCCTGATGACGTCTGGTGCCGACAACTCCGTCCGTTCCCCTGCTCAGAGCCCTGATGGCGTCTGGAGCCCACACCTCAGCCCGTTCTCCCTGCTCACAGCCCTGATGGCGTCTGGAGCCCACACCTCAGCCCGATCCCCCTGCTCACAGCCCTGATGGCGTCTGGTGCCGACACGTCAGCCCATCCGTCCTGTGCAGTCTCACCTGCGAGCCGGACACGCGGAAGATGCCCTGATGATGCAGACCGTACAGGTTGATGACGCGCACACACGAGCGCACGATCAGCGGGATGTCCTGACCGCTCTGCTCCAGGTACTCGGACAGGCTGCCGCCAAAGAGGCGCGGCTGGCCGTCGGCCGGCGCGCGGCCCAGTCGTTTACGGCGCGGCGGCGGCGGGCAGACGGCACGACCGGACCGCTCCAGCTCGGGCGCATGCTCGCTCAGCCCCGAGCGCAGCAGCTCGCGCTTCACCTGCAGCCGCGCTAGCAGGTTCGAGTCGGCCACGAACTCTGCGAACTTCTGCCGGCGGAGGGGACCAGGGTTGAGTCGCCGCGAACACGGCACTTCCGCGGGAGAGATAGGGCAATTCCCGCAGTCAATCACGAGTCCAACAACACTCTGCCCCTTCGGGACGCACAGGTGGGCGTCCGAATCAGAGTGAGAGTTGGTCACAAATCTGACAAACTTGTACCGGACAGAATGTATATAGCACGGTCGCAAACCTCGGCCAAGGAGAACGACAGGTCAAGCACGGTCACACAAGCTTCTCAGGGGGTGCCGACAACTCGGCAAACTTCTGACTAACTGGGGTTGGATTCTGACAAGCTGACTGATCTAACAAACTTTAACCCACATGAACATTTCCAGCATCAATTTCATGGCAGACGCGCGGCACTGTCCCGTCTCCAGCCGTCTGTAACAAAGACCATGACTGGGCTTCTAGAAATGCCAGAAACGACTAAAAATTCGTCTTAAGGCTACCATAGTCGTTGCGGTGACGTGCATGGGTGGGCCAGCTGTTTCAATACCAGGTCACTGGCAAAGGACGTGACACCGCCGGGCAGTGACGCCCCGTACCGTCACGTAGAACTGCCCGGTCTCCAGCTGGTCGCCACGCTGCTTGGCCAGTGCCGTCTCCGTGGGCCGCGGCGCGCTGGGCGACTGGAAGAGGCCGCGGCAGTCGATCTCCGCCGTGCCGGCCATCTCCAGCAGGGACCGCTCGGCCGTCTCCATCGTCTTCCACTGCTCGTCGGTGGCCGTACGCAGCGCTTCGATGCGGCGACCCAGCGCGTCGTAGCGCAGCCGCGTCTCGTCCAGGATCGCTGGATCGACGTCGTAGCGCGACATCTATGGGAAGTGCCAAAAGCTCTGGTGTCAGGGGTTTCAGCTAGGTGCACGCGAGCAGCAGTGCAGTGAAGTCGGCACCGCGTGCCGTCATGATGATCCGTTAAGACATGACGAGATCGTGAAGGGCCGTCGAAGACAAATGTCAGGCCTTACGAGGAAGCTGAAGCCAAAGCACAACAGAATGCACCTGAAAACAACAGTGAATCTCCGTCAAATATCCGGGGCGGCACCCTTCGAGCGCGGAAAAGTAGCAGTGTAAGGCTTGAAATGAATCCACGGCGGCAAAACTCCAAGCAAAATCACTGTCACTCCGAAACCCGACACGCTGGATCACTCACAATATCTCCCTTATACGGCACGAACTCGAACTTCTTCGGCAGCATGAACGAGGCGTTGTTGGCTTCGATGAAGCGCTGCTTGTCGAGCCGGGCGTCAAGAGCGGACACGGCCCTGGTCAGCGCCTCCACGCCCTGCCGCAGGCCGTCAATGGTGCCCTCCTGGGCGTCGGTGGCCATCAGCAGGGCGCGCCCCAGCGCCGCGTGCACGCCCGTGTCGGCGCAGTCCAACGCGTCCGGCAGGTCGTCCACGAAGTAGTGTTGCACGGCCGCGTTGGCCGCCTCCAGGCAGAGGATGAAGTCGTTGCGCGCGCGCAGCGCCTGCAGCCGCGTGTCCTGGTATTTGTTGCGTCGCTGCCGGGTAGTGCAGAGCGTTAGCGGACGCCATAAGACTGCCCGGCCGAATGTCGCCCGGAGTAGCAGTCAAACAACGGCAGTGCATGCTGCCCATGACACAGTAATTTGCATATACTTCATGAAGACACCACAAAGGGAGCCATCGAAGCGCAATATGACCGTGCAGTACCCCGGATATATCAGGACACTCTGCGACAGTATGCACGTAGTTCCACCCACCTTGACAATCTCCTTCTCCACCAGCCTGAACTTCCTGGATTTTTCAAGCTTCTCTTCTGGCAGATTTACTTCCAGCTTGGCCTTCTGGTTGACTACGTACTGAAGTTTACCTTCGGCGGTGCTGAACTGTGCGTAGTACATGTTGTACGTCTTGGTAGCTGCCTGGAGTTCATTGATCAGCTTCAACAACTCTTCATGAGAATCTGTGCAGACTTGACGGCACTAAAATAAAGAAAAAACACCCTTATTGAGGCAGTCCTGGGCTCACCGCAGATATGCATACAAATTTTGTGAAATGCTGGAACACCGCTTGCAGAATGTGCATCAACAACAACCACAAGCACTAGTCATAACCAAGAGTTCCTTTTGGCTGAAATCCTACTTTGCTCACTAGCCTCAGTCTTTAGCAGCTACAATTGATAACTTGACGTCAAAACCCATCAGCGCCAATGAATTCGACCCATTTACATCACTCTGCAGCAGTGTCCTAGTTACAAAGCCCTCCTTACAGCCCACGGAAATCGCGGACTATGAGCCAGTGATTTGGTTCATTACCAGTCCGTGGCCGTTTATAGCCAAGTAGCTGCAGGTCAGCCTGCTTGCACTACACCCTCCATACGCCAGGCCCGCCCGTACCCCATGGCTGCAACACACCCGCAAAACAGCCATATCGCTGGGCGTGAGTGGCCGACCCCACCCGTCCGCACCACACCACTTGTAGCCTCCAGAGCACCCGTGCCCACCCGTTTGTGCACGCGCAGCAGGTCGTCGCCGAGCCGCGCCAGCTTCTGCGGCACCACGGTGGAGTAGACGTCGCCGATGGTGGCGCGGTCACGCGACTCGTGGCGCGTCTGCTGGATCAGCTGCTGCCAGCAGCTGTACGACGAGAAGAGGTGCGCTTGGTCTCGTCTGCGGGCATCCAGCAGAGCTGAGTCACCGCCCTGGCGCCGGCTGGCAGGCGGGCGGCGCGCCACCGCGGGTCGACACAAAACCCAGCTCACAGACGTCCGGGACAGCAGAGTCCGCGCGCTAGCGCACGGCATCGACTCTGGGGCACCAGTCGCGGCGGTTAACGTGGTCTCAAACACCTGCTATGTTGGACAGCTCAGACAGGGGCGCGAACGGCGATACAAGTGCTTGTAAGCCACTTCCCCGACAAAATGGAGGTGGTGACATCACGACTCGCCTCTGTTTCAGATCCTTGTGCCGTTGGCTGAGCGACTTGTGCAGCTTGTCGAGATTCCTGCTGTACTCCAGCTCCAGGTCCGCACGCCGCCGAAAAAAGTCCTGGAAAGCCGGGCGATAATGTAATGACAACATAACAAAATGACATAAACAAAAGATAAATAGCAAGTAATAAAATAAGCTAGTACGGAACAGCGGCTTCTCCTGTCGCCGCTCACGACTAACTGGTCTACGTTCTGTCTCACATATCATGCTGATCATTAATTTGTCAACCCAGAAAGTTGCCCAGGACGACCCTGACATGTGGGCCATGCCGTTTTTCTCAGTCAAGTCAAGTGGACCACTTCCAAATGTGATGAACGGGACCGATTGCTATCGAATAGAATAATGTGTGTTACCAGCTTGAATGAAACAATGCACAAAACTAACGCGACGTCATGAATTCATTTGTAACAACGGATTCCCGCATTACACCCTTTTCAGAAACAGTCGTTCTTGATTTCTCCCGCCCATGGGCTGTCGATACTTAAGGTCCATTTTGTTCCCCCACAGCTAGACCACGCGCTCCGGCTGGCTGGTAGCCCCTACCCTTTCCTGGACGCGTGCGGGCCGGCCGGAGGCTGATCGGGCGCGAGGTCATTCAGAAAGACAAGTCTTAAGGACCAGGACAGTTTTCTGAAAGCCTGGCCTGAAGAGCAAAAATTCCCACTCTTCGAGGTCTCGGGGCTCGCCCTAGACCTCGACCTATATCTAGACCTATTCCCCTCCCTGGTCAGCAACTGGGCCGGCCCCACCTTCTTCTCGACAGTGAATAACCCAGCGAGACCTGCCACGCGCTAGCCACTGACTGGTCATGCAGTCAGACTGTTAAATGCAGTCAAATAATACTGCCTGGCTACGTCTGTTTGAGCTGAATCCCGAGCCATGGGTGTCTCGATTCTGGCGAAAATGACCAACTTCAAGTCAAGTCAGGTACGCGACCTCACACCATGTATTGCCAATAAAATGTGCAAAATCTTCTTGTAAGTTACAAAAGGACACCAAATACACTAATAACAGAGAATCATATGAGCAAAATAATTGAACTATTCCTGAAATTTGTGTCATAACAAGGAATGCTGATGTCTTGACTTCATGTGGCTAATGTGCTGACACCAGCTCATCTGAAGTTAAAAAAACAGCACTGCCTGCACTGTTAGCTAGGTGTATGTTGACACCCTACTCACACTGTCTGCTTACCTGTAGTTCAAACAGCAGTGCTGCCTGTGTGTCAGCCCGTGTGTCCAGACACCGCACCTGCTCAGTCAGCTGCTGCTTCAGCTCTGTGGACATGAAGAGCATGTGGAAGGAGATGCTCAGGTGATGGCCTCACCCATACCAGCTGCACTCTGTGCACCCCATGAAGAACGACCATGACCAACATCACCAGATGCACAAAAAACACAAAGTCTGGAGTATGTGAAACATGTGTCAGTGCTGGTCTTCTTGTTCATTTTCATGTGAGCTTGATGCCATTCATGGCAAGCTACATGATATGTTCCTCTTCATTATGTTTGAGAGCATGTCATAGATATGTGGTGAGGAGACATGCTGTTCTGCTTCTGTTTTTCTACCATGATGAACACAACACTGGTGATGGGGTCATTTAACTGCATTTCACTCCCGATAGTCATTGCACATGTATCCATACAGAGGTCACACACCTTTGACCATTCCTTCAAAGCCTGCTTCCTTCTTAGATGTTTTCTTTTCAGAAGACATGGCTGGAGCAGACAACTAACTCATTTGATACCTGGAAAAAGCAACTTCTTAGGGTCAAGGCTGCATTATTACATAAAAGGAGCACTATTTTTTCACTGACAAAAAAGTATCACTGTGGTGCCAACCTAGGACTCCAACTGGATTTGATATAAGGGATGTCAAATGCTGAAGGGCCAATCCTAAGCAGTGACAGCACACTGGTCTCCCAAGCAACGACAAGACAAAAATCACAGACTTCACATCAGAACATCTGTGGCTTTATCTTTGCATGGCAAGAATGCTTAATGAAGGGGGTACCATCAATTTTGGGGTCAGACAAAGTAGCATGATTGTTTTGACCCCAAGTAGAAGTAGGACAAGGCTCTACAGGGTCTGCCACCCTTGCCAATATTGGTTAAATCTCTGGTGCCACTGCACGTATCTTTGACTTGGGCATCTTTGGAAGCTATGGTGAATCATTCAGAGAAGTTTCACAAGTTAATTGCATAATTTGTTTGTTCAAACCTGTTCATCAGCAGCAAATCAGTCAACCAAGGATTCATCTTAGAATTGTTGAATGCCTTCTGAGCAGTCAAGCATGTGGAACATTAAGATTGTTCTTTCTCAAAATATCAATGCTTTGGAATAAATAACCACTTGAATTTTTAGGTTTCTTAGTTTTATGGAGCCCTTCCAGCATGCTTAGCCTTATGGTAGGAGAACAATACTCATCTCACTCTATCCTCTGAAAATACAATTACGTTATTGCATAAAAATAATTTAGGAGCATTTTAGCACAAAACTACTCATACATCAAAACTCCTTGCAGCACAATCTGCATGCTGAAATTAATGGCGACTATTCACCAAACTCTGAATGCTCGCATTTACGACGCACATAACCCGAAAGTATTGCCGCAATATTGCTGATCGCCAGACGTACCCGACGTACCGTGCATTTCTGGCAGTCTGACCTGCATGTCACACACAGGATCGCTGACTGCTTCACAGAATGCGGGTCAAAGTGGGACACAAGATATAATTATTCAGCAGAAATTCCATATTGTTGCTTCCTCCTTGCTTCACCTAACCTAATCAACTAGTGGGACCCAGAACACAAACCTAACTACCCTGGGCATGCCCACACCCCGCCCATTGTTATGGTCGGTAGCAGGGGCCCGCAAAAAAGCATTGAAGTAGAAGACATATATACCGCATCTTTGACATAGAATCAGCTGACTTGGAGCATGTTCGTCACAACTAGCATTTCTTCTATTTTCAAATATATGGTAATGCAAGTTTTGGGGGACAGCCATGGCACAGTTTTTGTGCTAAAATGATTTTTTTCCTAGAGTTTTTGCTGCATTATTCCAATGATACTTATTAGTATTGTTTTCATACCTTGTTGCACTCGTCGATCCTGCTCATCCTGGGCATCCTGAAATGCGGGCGAAATCGCGAAAACCAGCTTTTACAGTTGTTAAAAATAGCTGTTTTGTAAAGGGTCGAGCCTGAAAAAGCCACTCAAATCTTGCGGATCTCGCATATCCGGGGCAATAGAACACCACGTATACTCAGGTTGCTGAGGCTGCGTTTTAGAGAGGACGTGGCCTTTGAGATCCGCAGGTTCAGGGTAGGTGCCAGTTCAAAGAAATGGGCACACGTGCATCAAAGGGTACTGAAGAGCTGTGAACCGTGGGGAAAAACACGGTCCTTGTAGAAAAAAACGGTGTGTTTGAAAAAGTGTGTGGATACAAATTTAGGAACACTGCGCCCCATAGAGCAATTCGCACTTTGTAGTACAGAGCTGTGTTAGCTGGTAGTTGCCAAGGGCCGAGTTGGGGCCACGGGTCACATATTCCTCAAAAGGGGGCAAGCACAAGTAGATGTTGCTAAATGCCAGATCTAAAAAATGCTAATGCTGCTTTGTCATGTTATACAAATTAGCATAGTGCTATTGAATATCCCAGAATCTATTATCTCATTTAGGCTTAAGTACTATTTCAATGTTTAATTTGTTTATCCACAAATATACTCATGCACATGCACCTGAAACCATTCATGTCATGGAATGTGTTTTTTGTGTTGCTTCTGTACCAAAGTGGATGTCACAGGGTACATGAGCATGGTTAACAGCCACCTCATATAATCATGACCACTTAATTCTTTCAGAGCTACCAAGATGTCATCAGAGATGCAAGCTGAGGAGCTGGAAGTCCTTAGGTCAATATATGAAGGTGATGCAGCTTTCATTGAAGTTGATGAGAAAACTTTTCAGTATAAGGCAAGTATTAGCCTCAGGTCCCAGCTGTCTCTAAGTCCTGTCCTTCTTGAGGCAGCTGGGCTTTCTTTAGTAACACTACAGATGAATAGAAATTGATCAGCTTTCATCAGGACTTTTCTATTTAGCTGAGTTATGTCATGCATAATCTTCAAAATGTTTGGTGTTAATATTTATAATATGCCTCTGAACCACTTTGAGGCACATTCCTATCACTCTATGTTTTTTATGATAACCTTATGTGGTTGTTTGCTGCTTTGTGGAAGGTTATGTATATGTTATAATTTTGAAGCAGAACACAAAAATTGTGTCCACATGATGTGAATATGGTGTGGCTGACTGTTAAATTTCAGCTGCTGATCTAATTCACCTTTATTTTTTCATGTTCTTTTAGTTTGGAGATGATGGTGAAAACAAATCTTTCTTGGTTGAAGTGAAATGGACAGACAGTTACCCTGATGAGCTCCCAAATGTCAACCTTGATGCATTTTATAACAACCATATGTGAGTATGTGCATTGGAAGTTTACTGTACTTGCTTTTATCTGTTAATCTTCCTCTTATGACATGTGTTGTGATAAGTGGCATTGTGAGAAGTCCATTTTGTATATGCTGTTACATGGCAATTACTGGATATGAATTCTGGTAGCAATGGTAAATTAATGAGGCAAAGGCAAAGTGTCATGTTTACTTCAACCTCCATGACTACCAGCATTGCTGGTTGAGAGTATCAATGAGTCTTGTAATGATGGGATTTAGTGCATGTGTGATATGTTTGTGCAGAGCTATGTCATACACTGGGATTGGCAGGTGTATTTATTAAGCACAGTGTGGTCTGTGACAGCTGGTACACCTATGCAGAACATCACTGACTCACTCTCTTGTTCATGGCCAGTCTGCCACCAGTGAAGCAGCATGTGGTCAGCCAGGTGCAGGAGCAGGCTGAGGCCATGCTTGGCATGTCCATGACATTTACTCTCTTCGAGTGGGTCAAGGAAAATGTCACAGACCTCATGGAGCAACAGACTTTGGCCCCTGTGATGGCGGAGGTCACCGAGGAGGTGGAGGAGCTCAGTATAATACAGGTCTGTTATGCTGTAATGCTGTTTGGGTCCCTGTGGGGACATCTCGCTGGGGGAACTCAAAGTACTCACTAAAAACCTGATGTACCAGATTGCAAGCACATGTTGCAGTTTACTTTTACTGCACCAATATGCCAAAGCTTCATGTGTGCTTTCCCAGGTGGATGACATCTCACCGAGATCTGACGGTTGGCGGCCGACCACCATGGTGCCCCCACCTCCATTCGAGGACCTTGTGGACATCGTGCTGTGTTGACTGTCAACCTGCTGGCTAACGTTTTCTGTTGACCTTTTTTCGGGCTTTTGCGGGGCTGGTGTGCTAGCTTTCCACTCAGGCCAAGTGCTCTTCGCCTGCCCCGTCCCCTGGTGGCTGCCAAGGGGTCGCTCTCCCCCAGTGCGTCGCCTTCTCAGCGCCTGCGCCGGTTTCCTGTCTGCCAGTCGTAACACCGCGACTGCCAAGGGGTTGCTCTCCTCCAGTGCGTCGCCTTCTCAGCGCCTGCGCCGTTTCCCTGTCCGCCAGTCGTAACACCGCGACTGCCAAGGGGTTGCTCTCCCCCAGTGCATTGCTGTCTTAGCGCCTGCCCCGTCTCCTAGCCGCCAGTCGTGGACACAGCGCTGCCACGACTGGACCGCTTTCCCCTCAGTGCGCCGCTCTGTTAACAGGACGGTCCTGGTCGGAAGGAGAAACGGGAGCAGCTATCGAAGCAGCAGAAGGCGGCGCGCCTGGGGACCAGCGCGCGCAGGCCGGCGGCGCCGGCGAGCGCGCGCGCGGCTGGGATTGGGTCGACACTCATCCGCCACCTCTCGCAGACGGCGCCCAGTTAGCGCCGGCCCGGCTAGAGACTGGCTTCGACCAGTATTGTCTCAGTCCTGAGCTGTTGACGAGTCAGGACCAGGGGCGGTTTTACGGGCTATTGACAGACGGCCCCCAGCAGACTCCAGCGGTGCCCGGACGCCATCTGTGGCTGGTCACGACGGTCAACAGCGCCACTCCGCTAATGTCTTGGTGAACGTGTGCCGCTTGGGTTGGAATGGGGGCGTGGGGTGGCGAGCTAGGAGAACGCTCACCAACCACAAATCTAGATTATCATGCGCTGATGCGGTGGGGGTCGGCCTGCATGGGGTCGCTGTGGAGGGCGCCGGGCACAACTCAGCCGGGAGAACGGATGGATGGGAATGCCCCATGCTTCCAGAGCAGCGGGGGGCTTGTTGGTGTCCTGTCTTGCATCCATATGTGCTTGCAGAGTCCGTAGAGTTCTGTGAAACTTGAGTTTGGTATTGTATGGGGATTGTCCGCGGGCCTTGTACTTCAGCGCAGGAACGTGGTGCCCTCGGGCGAGCTCGCTGTTGATGGTGTTGTTATAGGACGATATTGATGCTTTGTACAACTGACAACACTTTTGCTGTTTGATGCCAGGAATACAAAATAATGCTATTTTGTCATGCTGGTTATCCTACATGACCGCCCGTTGGTCATGGCTGTCAACCACCACAGTTAGACGGCGGCGCCACCGTTCACTCCTGTTTCAGCCTAGCTGTCGGCGTTCCCTTCTCCTGGTTTTATAGGTATCTTCTCGGAAATTTACATAATGGGCATGCTGTAGTAAGTGACGAAATCGGCACATTGCCTATGCTGGTATGCGAATTCGACAGTTGTCCCATTTCGAGCAGAAATCACTCCAGAGTTTCCGAAATAAGATAAACCCATGCCAAGGTGTCCTTTTACCAAGGTGGCAAAGACAGCTCTTGAAAGTCATCTTAATACACAGCGTATGACCTGGCACACAAACTAAGCGAACGCTTCAATTTTAACTGATGATATGCGCAGCGACCACCTCAGCACAACGTGAAGATTCGAGTGCTCGACGTAGCATGGTTTGTTAACAAAATGTTATTTAATCTAGGGTAGTACCTCATTATATTTTCCAATATTCTATCGTCGAACGCTCGAAAGGAAAGGAGACATATTTTTCAGCGCTGCTTACATTCGCGTTAGCAGATGATGCATAACGAGCGGTGACCTTGGCCCAGGGATTGGTAATGGGGCTGTGCTTACGGAAGTATTGATGTATTACACCAAATGCGATTACCAACATGCTTCTATGCTTGCGAGCTTGCTTTGGCCACTGCTTGCAAGTGCCTGACTCCATCCATCGTGGCACACGGCGAGTAGCCCATTTGTTAGTGATTGCGAGAGCGGCGCAGGGCTTCACGCGGGAAGCCCGGTGTGGCTGCAGATAAAAAACGAGCGGCCGTGTCACGACTTTCGACATTGCGCATTTCACATCAGCAGAACAAGCATTGCATCTCCCGCGTATCAGGTTGAAGCCCGTCAGAATGGCGCGCGAGGCCCCATTGTACCGCGTCTCGAACCGTTCGCGCTCCGCGCGTGAATGACTGGAGAAAAATCCATCTCCGTCACGTGACCCTTCAGTTCAGGAGCCACTCGACCCAGAGATGGTGCAAACGTGGCCTTGAGCCCACTGCAGCATTGTGTTGCCAGAGAGGTGCGCCGCTCCTCGTGCCAGCCGTCCCAAAGCCCTGCTCGGACCGCGCCGAGGGAAGCCCAGTAATTCCAGCTCACCCATTGGTGTGTTGGCTTCCACAAGTGAACGTTGTTCGGATGGTGTGATTATGGAGCTTAAATAGGCATTCGAGCAGAGTATATCACTGCTCCTATCCTTTCATGCTGGCGGGTGTAAGGAGCAGTAGGGCAGCTAGAATGCCTCAGACCCCCTCCGCAGAATGCTTGAAGAGGGCCGCCGAGGTTTGAAAGTTTGCTTAAAAATAAAAGCAGAGGCTTTCAGTTAAGGAGTGCTACTTGGCGTGGCCAAAGTGTCATGTAGTGTATCATAAAGTATATCATAAAGTATCATGCCCACACGTGGGTTCAAAAACGTCCGAAGAAAAAACATTGTATGCATGCATTGCACTGCTAGCAGCCCTAAATTATGACACTTTGGAAAATGTGAGTGCTTTTCAGTCGCCTTATTCGGGAATCAGGTACCCGAAGGCTCATTGCCTTTGCAAGCTATCACATGCTTCAGCGTCGGCAGAGGAGACACTTTTTAAAGTGGGCTGGGGTGCTCAGCCGACAGGGTTGACCAATCCACACCCAAATCGTGATCTCACTCGGATCTCGGCCACCGATATCTGCGTTACTGATGCCAAGGTTAGTTTTGTTTCGCATTGGCCCGTAAAATATTTTGCAAGAATGACATTCCGTTCCAAGCACACAGGAAACAGGAGCTTTGCGGGAATCTTTGAGTTGGGTGCAAGGCATCACTTTCTGAAATCGGTTTGGGGAGGGGCCGATAAGATTGACCGAGCCTATCATAATATCTGACAACCCTATTTTTCCCGGATCCCCAGATTTCGGTAATGTTAAGTTGCGTCTGCGACGGTAATATATGTATATATATATATATATATATATATATATATATATATATATATATATATATATATAGAGAGAGAGAGAGAGAGAGAGAGAGAGAGAGAGAGAGAGAGAGAGAGAGCGAGAGAGGGAGAGGAGGTTAGAATCTGTCATTCAGCAATCAATTTATATATATATATATATATATATATATATATATATATATATATATAGTATGTATAATCTGATCGATAAGATATTTTTGGTTAGTTTAAAGAAGTTGAGACTGGATGACCAGGACATCAGCCGCTATCATTTACGTCAATCTGTCAATGTTTTAATACTATTGAGTATCATCAGGACACATGTTTCCTCAATGAAACAAGGTTATCTGTCACAAACGTCGCTGGATTATATCAGTCATATCGCTCATGGAAAGGAAGTTCACAGTTATTATTAGAACAATTCAACACGAGAACAGCACTTCCCTGCGCGCAAACAGGTCAGCTGGAGGAAATACAAAATGACGCGACGAAAGATTAGTTAGGTTCAGCATAAAGAGACTAACTTATAATTTGCAGAGGCTATACAGACGTCACACTTTTTAATGGCTTTTTCAGGTGGATATGCACTGGTTCTAAAATCGTAAGATGCAGAGCATTGCTGTAACGCCCATATATGCAAAAATTATAAATGTTAGCGAGTGGAGCATGTACGGGCTCAGTGTGGCGTGGGCTCAAAGTTACGTGGTCTGCAATGTAGAGTCCAGCAACATTTGGGAAGCTTTGACCGTACGGGTAACATTCTGTCTAACCCAGACTCTTCGCCGATCCGAGACCACTCCTTTACGTGTGACACTCGCTTTAACTTTGAAAAACTACCCGCATCAGAACAATGCGGAAATTCTCTCGATCTTAGGATGCCTGATTTTCGTCAGAGTAAGCCGCTATGGAATAGCATGGAGTCTGCATGTCCTCTGCAATTGTACGACAGTGTTTTTCATACGGAACCAAAAAATTATTTATCGCTTGATTTGGCATTTTTGTAAGCTGGCCTGTTTGCGCTTAGAGACTTTTGTGCTCGTGTTGAAGTGTGTGAGCCATGACCATTAACTTGCTGGCCATGAGCGATATAGGTAATATAGCTGTCAAATGAAGCCCTGTTCCATCGTACGAGACGGTGTCTTGATGATGACGACCAATCGTATTGAACCATGACATTTTGACATGAATAATAGTGGACTGTAATCCTGCTATTAAAATGTTTTACTTAAATACATCTGTCACACATCTGTCAATCGACTAAAAACAACAGGTACACGGAAGAACGCAGCATGTTAGGTCACTTACAACCTCTGCCCCGGGATATGTCATGAGGTCAAAGGTGAGGTGGCGATGGAGCACTATGTAACATATACTAGTCATGACGAGAACAGGATGAGGCCTGGAGATGTTTGGTCGCTGCTGGTAGATGGTGGCCTATTGATGCTCACCTTATAGATCTCGCTAATCTTGACTTCGGTGTGGTTTTACGTAAGATGCAGACTTGACGCTTTCCGTGTCTCTTCGCCACTAAGGCTTCTTTAGAAATGGTAATAACAGTTCGGCAATTGTTTTGACAGCTCGTATTTTCCCGCATTTTTTGATGTTCCAAGGCATGCATTCAATTGATAACAAGCCATTTTTATCCGACTAACGCAAAGCGAAGCTTTTTGGACATTTCATGGCATACCAAGAAGCCAGCGAACGTTTCAGGGGACTCGGACAAGAACATATTATGTTGACAGCGCGGCTTGTCAATCAG